TTCTTCCACCTACCTATCAGTGTACACTAACTCAAAGATCTGTTTTTGATTCCACTTCGACAATCCTGCTGATCTTACACATCTGATTGTCTTATTTAGTTGTCTTATTTAATTGCCTGGTTGCCCAAAGGCCTGGTTCCACAACCATGTCTTCACCCTCCTCCTGAAGGAGAGGAGGGATGGTGATGTTCTGATTTCCCCGGGAGTGAGTTCCACAGGTGAGGGGCCACCACTGAGAAGGCCCTGCTTCTCGTCCCCACCAGCCTCACTTGTGACAGTGGTGGGGTCGAGAGCAGGGCCTCCCCAGATGATCTCAAACTCCGAGGTGGGACGTAAAGGGAGATACGTTCGGACAGATACACTGGACCGGAACCGTACAGGGTTTTGTAGGTTAAAACCAGCACCTTGAATTGTGCTCGGAATTGAACCGGCAGCCAGTGGAGCTGGCATAGCAGGGGGGTGGTGTGCTCCCTGTATGTCGCTCCAGTAAATACTGTAAATAAATAAATAAATAAATAAAATATCATGCTATGAACCCGCTTTAACTGCATGGCTTCATCTTATGGAATCCTGGGCTTTACAGTTTGTTTGGACATTAGAGAATTCTGGGTGAAAATTCAAGGCATCCTTCCTTGCATTGAAAATACCAGGATTACATAGGATGTTGCCATGCTATAATTGTGTAGTGTTGAAAGAACCCCAGAACTTGCAGCAGACTTTTACAATAATGCCCACATGCTGAGTCCCTGCTTCTTCTTCAATATATAAAAAGAATAGAAARCATGAATATTAAACCCAGAAGGCAAGTATGTTATTTACAAAAGAAATCTCTCTCTCTCTCTCTCTCTCTCTCTCTTTTGAAAGCACTCAAGAATGTTTTTTCCCTCCTGGGGATGTAGTACAGTACTTTCTCCCATATTTTGATAAATGCCTGTTTCTGGCACTCTCATATCAACCAAATATACATATGCACACACACACATAGTGGTACCCCCCCCCCCCCACTTTCTGCTCCATTTGAATCTTTAAATATTTGGGTTCTTTTTTTGTTTTGTTTGTTTGTTTTCGTCTAGGACAACCTCTTGTGAGACAGATAGAGATAACAGCAAGAGTGCTCTAGTGACAAGGGATTGACACATTCTTGAGAAGGCCAGTTGGAGCAAGTTGGCTCCAGTCCGTAGCTGTCACCAATGCAAACCTGAGGCAATGGGAAGGCCCCAAGACTGGCTCTATTGTTGCTGTCTGTTTCTCAAAATAAGGTGTGAAATGGCTTACATTCAGACAGATTCTCCAAAGAGGAGAAGATAACTGTAACAAAAATTAAGTGGCCCAAAACTGAGAAAATAAATAAAAAGAGTAGCATCTAATACAGGCGATTTAGGTGGAGCAATGTCCTTTCATCTCAGGATTCTTGGGACTGCTTTACAACCAAGTCTCAGGTATCAATAGTGCTTGGTACTACATTTAGATTAGTTTTCTGTGTTATTTCTTATATATATATATATATATTCAAGAGAGAATCACAATGTTTGAGCCAGACATGACAAAACTACAGGTAAACTACAGGTAAAGCCCAGTCTTCTTGACTGGGCCAGGTCAAGACATTTTCCTCTTTGGGCTGAAACATACTGACGAAACTGGAATCTGGGCCTTACCTTAATACTAGTAAAGTAAATACCTCATCTAAGGGTACCAGGCTAGCTTATGGTATAGGAGGTAAGCTACCTGGGACACAAAACTCTATCCCCCATTGAATGGCATTGGCCACCACTCTACTGAGCATCTGCTGCCTGTAGAGACTTGCGAATTCTGTCTAATGCTTAGGCTGACTCTGGTAGTTGGAAGTCATATTTTTCTATTTTCTTTTCTCTCTCTCCTTCTTTCTATTTCATTTTCATTTTCATTTTTTCTATATACCTTTTAATGTAATGTTAACATCTTTAATAAAAATTAGTTAAAATATTAAGTGCATCTAGTTTAGTATTGTTTAAAACAGGCCAGCGGATTTGTGGACCTCCAATGGTCATTGGAGTCTAAGGGCCCTTCCTCACAGCCATATAACCCAGAATATCAAGTCAGATAATCCACAATATCTTCTTTGAACTGAATTATCTGAGTCCACACTACCATATAATTCAGTTCAATGTGGATTTTATAGAACTGGGAGGGGCCTTATCAGTATCAGCCCCAGATGGCTTCGTGAAGAATGATGAGACTGGTATTCCAACATGATGTGGAGACCCACAGGTTCACTAGCTGTCATTTACACTCACTAGCAGTCACAAGTTTATAGGGGTTTACGTACAAGCCAAACCTAGAGATCCCATTGATTTGACTTGACATCTTGTACATGCAAAGTACATGTTGTCCCACTAATCTACAGGATTACACTGGCAACTCTACCATTGATATTTATTACACAAAAGATCATATCAAGAAACCCTATGCAGTATATGAAAATAATTCTGAATTAAGTCTGCAAAAAGAAAACAAAGGATCAAGAAGTTGTCTGTAAACAAGAATTGAGGCTTTAAAAAATAGTACCATGTAACCTGAATTCCCACCCTTAATTTCCCCGTGTATGCCAGATTCTGTTCTTCCCACACACCATGGCTGAAGGATCTGAAAGATTAAAAACAAAAGAAGTTGTTTTCCTAGCTGTATCTTTCAGTTCCCAACCTGACCATATTGACAACTGAGGCAGACCTGTGCCCAGGTTCCCAAGTAGAACTCTTTTTGAAAACTTACTGCACACGACTGTAAGAAACCAAAAAAAGGAGCAGACCCTATGGGGACATTTGCATTAGAGCAAGTATGCACGACTGCATTCTTAGACATTGGGGTTGTCTCATGAGCTCTCATGAGTTCTGATGTTTATGGACTATGAAATTATGCATACACTAAGATTAATATACAAGCTCTACAAAACTATAACTTATAAATTTATGTCTTGTCAAAAGAAAGTGAGGCTTTCTTCAACATTGCAGCATTGCAGAAATTGGCAAGCATTTTCCAAAGATTTTATTTTGTTGGCTAGAACTGATGGAAGGTGAGTTAGAACATCTGGTAGTAGTTGCATCTTCAAGCTTACTCCAAATCCCTATATATCTTATTTGTAGTGCTAAAAATGAAACAGCAATACGATATTAGAAATGAAGAACAATTTTAACTGATATAAACTTACCCATATTTCAATGGGAAGTGTGGGCCTGCTTTTGGCTGATGAGATAGTCAAGTTAATTAGGATTGTTGTTGTTATGTGCCTTCAAGTCGTTCCAGATTTAGGGCATCTCTAAGTCTAAAGTTCAGGGCAGGGGCCAGGTAAATGACTTTGAAGGGCAGCATTTGGCCTGTGGAGCTTAGTTTCGGGGTTCCTGTCTTAGTGCATGAACAGTAGAAAGAGGAGTATGAGGACAGAATCTTTTTCTCTACCTGCTTTTATCCACCCACTCTGCTGTGTATTTGTGCCAGGAGGCTCACACCTTATTTTCTTAACAGATTTGATTCACTGGTCAAACGGCTAGTTATATCCTAATAAAAGTAACTTGTCCAGACTCTGTCTTGCCTATGCACATGGCAGCCAATGCACATAACTGACTGAAATCAGAGTTCAAAATGGATGCATATTCCTACAGATTGGTGAACCTGCATTCCATTTATATCTCAATAAGAACCTTGTAAGTAGTTGCTAAATAGTCTCAAAGCTCATGCCCCTCCCCGCCAAAAAAACCCACCCCAAAAGGGAAAATTTTAAAAACCTTCCAGTACTATGGACTGATTTTTCCTTTTTATTCATTTTTTCCACATAAATTACACAAACACTTTAGAAAATGAATATACACAAAAATGAAACCATCTTATAAGTGCATAACTTAAAAAGAAACCGAAGGTTGCAGTTCAAAAACTCGGTAAAAATATTACTTTTTTGATATATAGTCTAATTGGCTGTGTGTGTGTGTACCACCTGATTTTAAATGGCAGTGATGCTTAGGTTAAACATAACTGAAAATTATATACTGTAGATATCTTTATATAGTCTCAGACTTTGCTGTAAGAAGTGCTTAAATTAATATCAAGCTTTTCCTTAACACAATGAAAAGAAATGTGTGGAATTGCTGGTCAGGATATGGGAAGGCAGGGATGTCAGTCCCCACATTGCAACACTCCCCCCACTGCAAAGCTGACTTCTCAAGCAAAATAAAATAAAATATTGAACAATATCATAAACAATACCAAAATAATCCATCAAGTGAAACTGCATTACCCCTGCAAAAATGCCAGAGATGCCTCAGAGTTATTAAAATATAAGTTGATCAATGCAGAGTCTCTGGCAGCCTGGGAAACTGATCACAGCTTTCACACAGTGGTTTGCCATGTGATGTTTACATTCAGCAATCATCCCAGTTTCATTCCTTCAGCAGGGAGAAAATAAGTAAGAGAAAAGTGGCCCAGGTTTCATCTTTGAAGATTAAAAACAATGCGAGTGCGATTTCTTGTTTGTAGAATCTAAACGTTTTTTGAGGAAAAGGACTCCAGTCTTTTAGAAGTTCTTTAAATAATTTTTCCAATTGTTGACTCAAATTTGAATAAGTTCTTTTACCAAAAAAAGAATTAGTCTAAAATTTGTAAATTGGCAAGCAAATCCTATACCTCCTGCAAGCTGAGTAACACAAATCTTGGGTAAGTTGGAAAAACACAAGAGCTTGTTTTCTCCCTACAAGTGTCTTTTGAAGACCTGGTATGGTTGTTCATAATCTGGTCTTAGGAACTGAAAGACAAGGATGATGATGATGAAGAAGAAATAATAAAGTGAAGGCCTTAATACTCCAACAGGTGATCATATGGGCACATTCGTCACGAAGACAACACTGGCTTGCCCAGGGCATTGTCTGGTTGCTGGTCCATTCCTTGTCTAGGCAATGTTATCTTCTCCCAGTGCTGTCAAAGAAGGCCAGCTGTCTTGTAACACAATAGGTCCATGCATAGGCAAAATCCAGGCTTCACTCACAGGCCGATGCTACAGACGTAACGCTGGTGATCTTAGAAGAGTCATCTGACCATGGCTGGAGGTTCTGGAGGGCAAAGAGGGAGGAGTTGTGAACACAGATGGGGTCTGCTTGGATGGGCTGGTTGATGGTTTTTTGAAAGGCCTCTTGCTGAAGCTGCATGAGGATGCGATTGGCTTGCTGCCTCTCAGCTTCCCTCTCCTCTGCAGTCTGTCGCCTGGGAGAAACATGCACACATATCATATCTGGATACCAAAACAAATGGAAAAAGTAGAATTTCTAGCTACCCGCTGCTCTTTAAGACTTAAGTTGTTCTTCATTTCAATACATCAAAGGCTCATTTTATACAGTAACATTCCATGTATTTATAGAATGCCCTTCAGCCCAAGACAACCTTAGTTCCTTTGTGACTAGCCAGGTTAGCCTGATCTCCAGCCCCACCTCAAGCCTCTAGGAATAAATGGGTTTGTTTCTCAAAGCTTTCATCTCTCTTTTGATATGGTCTGCTATAACCTTCCCCAATCTGACACTTCCCCATACAAACTCAAGCTATCACCTGCAGCCACTAGCCACATTGGCCGATGGCAATGGAATCTGTTATCCAGTATCTCTAGAGTTCACAAGGTGGGATGGGGTGAGTTTTTGAATGAATGCTCCAGGAAGGTTTCTGCCATTTTGAAATTGAAGTATTTCAGTGAAGTATAGTGAATACAATTTATCTTTCTTGTAATATGGCTTCATATTTCTCCATTTTCTTATTCTGATTGATTGATTGATTGATTGATTGATTGGAAGAAGTCTGTTCTTTGCATTTGAGCTCCTTAAATTGTGTCATTTAGCTAGAAGATACGGTCTTGCTCATTGTTTGGTTAGTTGTTCTACAGAGTTCCAAGCTATGCCGTGGTCAACAGGAATAGCCAGACAAAGTCTGGCCGGTGGAGATTGAAGAGCTCGAAGGGCACAGTTTCCCTACTTGAATGAAGACATATAATAGCCAAGAGCTGCTACCTTGGAAAATCCAAGAGGTGGTAGCAAAGATAGAGTGTAAAATGAGTGCACCTACACCAAAATTGCTTCCCTGTTTGTCATATAACTTAGGAAAATTAGTAACTTTTACTGCAACTCCCAGAATCCCTCATTCATCATACCACTCTCACATGACATGCTCTGGTGTGTCATTGTAAACAAGTACATCTACCAGTCTCCTTCTGACCCATTTCACCAATGATGTCTGCAGAGGTAAAAATCAAAAAGGCAAGAAGAATGGAACAGAACCATTCTCTAGGTTCAGAAATAAGGAAAATGTGCAGAGTTTAAGACCGGGTCACATCAACAACTAGGAGACCACTCACATCTCCCCACATTTGTCCTGTATTTGCTAACAATCAATTATATTGGGTGGCCCTGAATTCCAGGATTTTAAGAGAAGGCATCAACAAGGAACCTTTACAATCAAAGCACCCCCGACCGAAGGCCACTCAGTCTTTGTAATAATAATAATAATAATAATAATAATAATAATAATAATAATAATAGCAGATACCCCAATTCAACCCCCTTCTGCCATACAGGAAAAGCATAATCAAAGCACCCCCTGAGCAGTGGGAGGGACATAGGGTTTTGGAAGCAAGGAAGGCAAAGGAGAAAGGATCTGGGCAGGGAGGAAGGCAGGAGGAAATGGTTTTTGCCACAAGGAGGTTGGGGGGGGGGGAGGCTTTTGATGGTGAGGAAGGGGGAAGAGTAGGAAAGAGGAGGGAAAGCTTGGAGGAGGGAAGAGGAGGAAAGCACAGAGCCCAAAGAACTGCTGCTCTAGACATCTGAATCACTCCCTCAGCCCCAGAAGGGTTCAGTGTGGAGTTTCTGCTTACTGGCATAGAGAAGAGGAAGGAGGAAGCTATTTGGACATTGAAGTTGCTTTTTTGGACTCTATCTCCAACAATCTCAATGATAGCAACAGATGTAATATGCTACAAGTACATTATTCGCACTCAATTTTCCTCTGCTACGCACTAACTGAAGGAGCAATGATGTTTTTTAGATTACGGCTGGGCAAATGTAAAATTGAATTGTTAAAGACAATGAGCTCTTTCTAAATAGTGGCTTTGAGATAAATTGTCTCTTAGTTATAAATTATTTTGTTTATCAGGCATCTAAAATGCCCCAGTTGTACTGTGATGACAGAAGGAACTTTGTGGTATCTCCTTTTGAGCTTAAGAATTCTTCTCCCCTCGAGCAATTTCTACAAAGGGAGGCATGTTAGTCTATTACAACAAAAACAAGTAGTCTTGGAGCACTTTAAAGATTAATAGGTATAGTATGGAATAATATTTCATTGGCTGTAGCTCATTTAAGTCAGATGTTTGTGATGTCTTCTCTTGCCAAATAGGCAGATTCATCCTCACTCTTGTGTGAGAGTATGTGTGTATACATACAAGTGTGTGTGTGAAGAGGGAGAGAGGGAGAGATTCAAAGATAGCTTTCATTCTTCTGGTGGATTCCAGTCCTTGACATTCATGCTGCAATACATCAGTTAATCATTCAAGAAGCCATGAGACTCTATATTGTCTACTTTTCCAAAAGATCTTGACCCAATGAATGTGTTTACTAAAATATGCTTTCCTTTAGAATCAGCACAGTGCAGTGTGTATCAGACATCTTCACTTAGACAACCAGGTTTGGAAAAGGGAGAAAGTAAGAGATTGGGAAGTAGCCTATCTGTCTGCAAGCAGTGAGCTGCCTTAGGTTGCCAACTTAATCCAATTTTTAAAAGAGACTGGTTAGATTGACAGAGAATGAGGCAATCAATGGCTGTTAGTCAGGATGGCCATCTGGCATTTCCATTATCAAAGGCAGTATGCCTCTATGTATCGATCCCCAGTGAACATGAGATGGAAATTCTGCTGGCAGGCTTCATATAAAGACCTGATTGGCCATTGTGCAAACATAATATAGGTACAGAGATGCTCTTAAATGCCCTAGAGAACCAAAAGTTCCCAACCTTTGGTCCTCCAAGTGTTTGAGGCTTCAACTCCTAGAAGTCCCAGTCATCTTTGGCAACTGTCAAGAATCCTAGGATCTGAAGTCCAAAACACCCAGAGGATCTAAGGTTGGAAGCCACTGCCTTAGTCTGATCCAACATGGCTCTTCTCATGGTCTTGCGATACATCTAATCCCATCTAATTTCGAAAGCTATGCAATGTCTGGAAACTCCAAACAGGGATAGTAAAAATGTGCCTGAAACTCTGGAGAGCCACTGCTAGTTAGTTGACAGTATTGGCTTATGCAAATCCATTCATGACCCAGAGTAAGTTGGTTTTCTATGTTCCTGTGGTTCTTTCCTCCATCTCCTTGCTGCTACTTCCCATAATCTAAGCCATGATAAACATACATTTTCACTATGCCTAATTGGGGAATCTGAGCTGTTAGGCTCAAAAATAACCCTTAGTTGAGGTGATTCCATCATAAATATAGCAGAGTACCAGAAGTAAACTTCATAACCAACAGAAGCATACATATGACAAAACTGGGATAGCCTTCTATGTCTTAGAAGCACAGGATTGCAGACTCAGAACTTTAGGATCAAAAATATTTATTGAAGTAAAAAATACATTCTTGATAGAAAATGTCTTGGAGCTAACTTGCATACTAAATCTCATTATCTAAAGAGGTAAAAGGGTAAAAAGTCCATGCAGCGACATTTTGCCTAGAGAGAGGCAAAATGTGCAGCCTCATAGGTAGAAAAAAATGCAAAAGAGAATGGAAATTGGTGGCAAGGCCCCATGGTCAACCCAGGACAATAAAACTTAAAGAGGAAATTCCCTCACAAAATTCCATTACTGTATCATCAAAGGGGAGGAGATAGTGGCTAGCAGGAGGAGGAAGGACAAAGCCCTTTGGTAAACATGCATAGAAATGTGGGGGAGGAATTCCTCAGCCTAATCCTATCTCTAGTCAAGCTACTCATTGAGTTCTGGAAACTTGATGACACAAGAGACTTGTGCAGTCCAAGGATGAAACCCAACAGATAGGGACAGCTGTGAAGCCAAACTTTACAACTGTAAGCAACATTTGTTCAAATCTGAAATTAATAGAACAGCAAATAGGAAGGTTACAGGACACCTATACCTATTAGACATTAATTCTCATTCAAAAATCCCCAGCCCCAAGACCTTTGATTTTCTCTCTCAACTTCTTATCAAGTCTTCTGATAGGGATTACAAAGCTGTCTATCCTCTATCAATTCCCTCCTATTCTGTCCCACTTGGTAATAAATTGTTCTGAAACTCAGTTTGTAATGAAACAATAGACAACACCATTTTATTATCTTCATTGCTATTGATCCCTTCACAATGCTTCAGCTCATAAACCATTAGAGGTCTGGTAATACTATAAAACAATTACTGTCTGCCATGTTCTTTTAACTGGAGTGAGAATACATCAAATTGAGAATGTACACAGACAATACAATCCAAAAACATGGATACTAAATTAGCGGTGGCTCATTTACAGCATATATTTTAGCTTCTCTCAAGTACAATTGTGTTTTGAACAGATCGATTCTGTTCTGAAACCTTAGACAATTTTATTCAAGATATTTGGGGAAAAGAGAAATGCAGTACATCCAGCACTAATTCTTGGAGGTTTTTTTTTAATGAGATGAGATACAACCCATTCAAAGTTAAGTAGCTATCATGATTTATGATCACAGTTTGGATTGAAAAAACATTACCTATAAAATGTAAGTCCCCCTGAATTCAAAGGTATTTATTGTACATACTATGGAGGAGCATTATCCATAGTGTGTACAGTTCAACCATTTTAAAGAACACATTCAGGTACTGTTGGGTATCCAATGCATATGTTGTAATCCTTATCTGAGGTTTCCGTGACCAGCACAGAATGTAGTCAGAGCACGTTTGTTGATTAAGAGGATGTTCTCAAGGTGTGGCACTATATGTAGCCATGGCATCTGGTGGTTGGTCCTGGGCACGTAATATTGTAGTTACAGGATTGCTTTGCATAGCACAAATGACAAAGCTCAGCAAATAATACAGGTCATGGGAGGACTTCAGCTATTGTCAAAATGGAGTTGACCAGACTCACTAAAACAGATCAGCATACAGCTGAATGTTTAATTCTGATTTTAACAGATGTACATGAAAGAACCCCTTTCCGTGTCTCATTAAAGGCTTACATCAAGAAGCCCAGTTCCCACTA